CTTTCGTCATTCGTCAAAGCTTTATATATATATATATAAAGCTTTGACGAATGACGAAAGTAAACATGGATTCAAGTCTGGAGTAAAGCTGTTGGGAGGTTTAAGCCATTGAACTCCCTCATTGCCATTCTTCCCATCCCTCATTCCCCTTCTTTATACCATTGTATTTCTCTTACTTCCGTAAAATAATATATATGTACATGATTAATATATCTACATACAACACATATACTATATATGTATAGTAAGAGAAATACAATAGTATAAATAAGGGGCATGAGGAATGGGAAGAATGGCAGTGCGAGACTTCAATGGCTCAAAGTGGTTCTCCCGAACTAGGCCCGGGAACCAACAAGGGTCCGAACGTGTCAAGAAAAAATTCTAAGACCCACGAACAAAACCTTTAGCCTTTGACCAGAAAAAAAAAAAACAATTACTCGACTATGATCAAAAGAATTGTTTTTATCATAGTCAAGTAATTGTTTTTTTTTTTTTGATTAAGTTGATGTGTCAAGGGCTAAAGGTTGATTTTTTTTCGGAGATGCAAATCTCGTCCTTTGCGGTGGCGGGTAGGATGGAAGGGAAAAGGTTAAAAGCTGGTATTAGAATTTCGATCCACGACCAAAAGTAGAAGCTTCGAGTCCGGAGAATGGGGAGGAGAGACAGCCTTTTTAACTAGCACTTTGTATGAACTATTAGTATCAAGCAATTAGCCGTAGGTATCAGTCGGCACAATTAGCCTTCAAGTCCCCACTGGATAGAATTACCAGGTACTAAGAGATAAAATCTGGGATAAAATAAGTTCTTCCCGAAAGATACTGGGACGCTTCAATTCCAGGACAAGCAGGATGTGTATTTTTACTCTGCAAGTGAAAGAAATACAATTAAAATGTGAAAAAGATACTATATTGTAGGAATAAAGTTCTCTTATAACAGTCGGAAAAAATCCGGAATACCTGGCAACTATGTGGATTCGAGGTCACACTTTACTAGGAACAGAATTTATTTTGAAATTCATTTATGACGTTCTGAGAGTAAATATAGTTTAGATAACTTTTTCAAATTAACAATAGCAAAGCCGGATCTTAACACCCACAAAATCTGTGTGTAAATGTAATATTCTCAAATGACATTCATGTTTTAGAATTAATAATATATCTAAACTTGATTAGTCATTTGAGAAAACGAGAATGTATTGAGCACACAGGTTATACGGAAGTAAAGATTTAGTGTAATAATAATACCTTGAATTGTTATATAAATTTGTAAATCATGACTTTAATAGCGATTTTAAAATGATATGATATTTATTTTAACTATTAGAAATTCCCCTGTCAAGCATGAGGGCATACTTTTTATGAGAAAGTAGAGATTGAAGAATTGAGAAGAGTAAAGGTTTCAAGAAATTAAAGAAGTGTTGCTAATATTTCTACAAATTAATTAGTTTATTCTCTCTGTTGTAACATAAAGCAGCAAGACAAAATTTCACCTGGTCTGAATAAAAACAGTAGGAGTTATAGAGAATTCATTTACACACACTTGAAAAGATTTAGGTCTTTATATTAAAATAATATGAAAATCTTTCTTTATACACTACATTCTACTTCATATTAGAGTTCCCCAACCTTATATTCTAGTAATCGTGATACTATTAAATTTTGGTAGTTAAAGGTGGAGAGGGTGAGGAGATAAAGGGGTGTCATGTGTCATATCTCGAGAGGGGTAAGTCTTAATGAAGATTTTATTTATTATTCACATTTGCATATTTTAAACAAAACTCATCCCTACTCTCAAAATTAAGCCTTTTACCATTTTATAGTAATTAAAAATATAAAAAGTTTTTATAACAAAATCTCATAACAGATGGCGCCACACGCAATTTTATTTATTTTGCTTAATATAAAAGTTATTTTTTAAAATAAAATCTTACAACAGCCGGGAAAGTTACGCAACTCTTTGCTGGATTTTTTTAAAGCTTAAATCAGCAATTAAAACTTAATTTAAACAAAGAAAAACTAGAGGAAAATGATAAACAATTCTTAGGAATATATTAATGCTCTGGATATCATGCACCACAAATTTTAATTTAGTCACTTAGCTAGAAATTTCATTTTTTGATTTCGAATAATAATAAAATTGTGACTGACTTCTGTTATAATAGAAAAGATTGTACGGTTAATATAATAAAGCAAAAAAATAGAAATTACCCTTTTAAACTATGTGAATTTTAGCTGTATTTTAACTATTTTACAGTAAATAGGATGCTTTAAAATGTATAAAGTAATTATATATACAGTATATATATTTTCATTCTAATTTTAATATGAGATATAATGATAAATTGATATTTCAAATATTTTAAATTGTTAAAGAAACACTGTGTAATATATATTTAAAAGTTATACAGTAGAGCGTCGATTATCCGAATCAATTGGGGACTGGGGTTGTTCGGAAGATCGATATTTCGGATAACCGATTATGTATGAAAAAATATATTAATTTATCCCATCTTGACATTTTTCTCCGTTGGATGTCGCTTCTCGTTAAATTTTCGTCGATGTTAAGCCTAACGAAGACTATTGTATCGTTAAAAATTATTTTTTTATTTTGTACGAACAAAATGAATATATTGAAAAATATAAAAACAATAAAAAATTATACTTCAGAAGTTAATTTAGTATCAAAAACGTAAAATATTTGAGTGGTCAAAAGATTGCAGCGCCACAGCACTGGCGAAAATTTAAATTTGACTGGAATTCTTTCGGATGATTGACGTTTCGGATGATTGGCTTTCGGATAATCGACGCTCTACTGTAATTCAATTATTGATTTTACTTTACTAAATTTCGAAAATTGTTTTAAAAATCTTTAAAATGTCACATTTTTTTTCAAAAAATAATGTTTAAGTTGATTTAAATCCAATTTACATAAAATATCTATCATAATTAATTTCATCATAAAGAAATAACAAAAAAAGAATGTGTCTTTTTTTCAATAAAAAAAACAATTTAAATCTAAAATCTGAAAGCAAAGATCGCCAGTAACAGGATTAACCTGCAAATTGGTTTAACAAAAGGTACTTTAAATTTTGATTTATTATATCATAATTCGCGTCATGCAAGCGAATAAATCTTCTTTGTCCACTTGACAATCTCTCCCCTTAAAAATTATTATTATTATTATTTTTTTTATTAAATAGATTAAACTTTTAAGAAATTTTAAAGAATATGTAGTGTTAAAAAAACAAACTATTTTATATATTTTTACATTATATATAACTTAATATAAGAGGCAAAGTTTTAATAAACAAATAAACACTTTAGAATGTAAACTACAATAAATCATATTGAAGAAAAATACAAGATCCACAGGAAAAAATGTGTTGGCCTCGAGCGAAAAAAACGAACTTTTTCGTTTAGAAGTTTGTTATTTAATTTATTTTCTTTTTCTTTTTCTTTTTACTTAATAATACTGTCTGTTGTGTTGAATTTACTACAGGCATTTTCTGCCATTTAGTTACGACAAAACCCTCAAAAAATTACATTCTTAGAAATTCAATTTCTAGTATAATTTCAGGAATGTTATATCAAATGCATACGCAGAATAGTAGAGATGAATGTTTCTAAATAAATCATTGTATACAGCATAAGAAATACTGTTATATATTTTGTAGATTGTCTGTCGGTTATTGTGTCTTTTAGAGACATAGAAATATTTTTAACGGAAGTCATTTAATGAAAAGAATGCTCTTTCTTCATCTTTTACTCTTATTTATCTTCCTATTCATAGAATTGAATGAAACGAAATAAAAATTTATATTTTTTTGTTTTTTTTTTTTGATTAAGTTGATGTGTCAAGGGCTAAAGNGTTATCACTAAAACATATATATATATATATATATATAAAAATATAACAAATTATGAAAATAAAGAACCTATTTTATCTGACTGAAATAAATATGTTAAATTAAATTAGAATTTACAATTTAGTTATGTTACTAAATAAGAAATTAAATAAAAAATAATAATAAGTAAAATTTAAAATAGTATAAAATTTTTAATTAAATATGGTAACAAACAGAAACCTTATTTTGATAAAACTGTTAATTTCTAAGAGCTTTTCTATGAAAACATTCCTTGTTTCTATGATTAGTTTGTTGTGTAACAGGAAACTGAATGATGGGCCAAATAGTTAAAAAAATAATAATAAACAAATACTACGATTTAAAGTAAGATTTATATTTATTTAAATAATAATAATAATAACAGATTTTATCTTTTATTTTTCTTTAAAGAAGTTCACAGAAAGAACTAATTTTATCATTTTTTTTTTAACATTTATAAACACAGTCCTTGACTCTGAATTAATGGCTGAGTTGTTAAACATTTTTATTTTATATAATATATATATATAAACCAATGTTTACTTTTAGAACAAGGTCAATAGAAAATAAAAAGTATGTGAATTTTTTTTTTTTTTTCCTTTAAGAAAATTAATATTTTATTTTTTGAAAAATTAAACTCCTTAGAAAAGTAATTAATAAAATTTAATTATTAAATACACAATTTTTTAATGCACTGTAGAGAAAATTTCTTATCGAATTATTAATTATCAATTAATGGCTAACATAAGATAAACGATACAAAGTGGTATATTAATATGTGTTTTTTCGCTTCTGACGTCAATAAATCTTCTATATCTATATATATTTTTTCAATTTTTAAATGTTTTAACGTATTTACAGTAAAAACAACTCGGATTTCCATAAGCTTATATTGAGAAAGAATAGATAAATCTTAAGAAAATCCAGAAAAATAACATGTCAAAAAAATTTTCTTTAAATAGAAATATTTCAATTTCGAAATTCAAAGCTTTAAATAAAAAAATTCTGAGAAGAATCTAAGTAAAATTTTCATCTATGGAGTTCTCATAAAGATAGGGATGAATTTCATGACGTCATTCCACTTTAACAATTTTCTATTTAAATTCTGTGATGTCATCTTATACTTTACCTTAAGAACCGTTCACACTATAATACCGTCACTGGAAAGATCGAGAAGGAAAATTAATTATTGGAAAAGAAAAAAAGGGGGATAATATCATTCTTGAGTTCAAACTCCACCTGTAAGTAGAACAATTGCATAGTTTTTTTTAACTGATGATAAAGACATAAAAGTACTTATTTATATAGCATCATCCGGAAAAATCTAACATTTTATGTAAAATATTAATATGAACGTTAATTAAAAATAGCAATTAGATTTTACTAGTTCTTCGGGAGGAAAGAAAAAAACAACCTGTTGCAAGATGTAATTACAGTTTAGTAAAATAATATCAAGGCAAAACTGGGTTACCTAGGCAACTAAATCATCACGTGATCGTTCCACTGCAGCTTCAGTAGTGAAGTTACCTCTAGTACTCCTATAGTAGTATCGAATATATATACCATGATAAGCGAACTTGTAGTTTGACGACTTCGAATGGGCATACGAATATCATCTATCTACAGACAGGTAAGTGCTTTTTAATAATAATATATTTATTTATGTATGTAACATACTTTAGATATGTTAAGTGTTTTTTTTTCTAATCATTAACATTATATAAAAATTTGCAAATGCATAATGTTTTATACAAAATCTGAATAAGTTATAATGAAAGAATTAAAATTTAAGAGCGTTTTAAATATTAAATATTTTAAATGTAATCCCAAACATGTTTCTTGTGACTAGTTGCTTAAAGTTAAATTTAATTTTATGATCTTTATGTTTAATATTATTTTTAAATATTTATATTAATATATATATATATATAGCCTATATATATTGTATGTATATATTTAAAAATTTTTTAATGATGTTAGCATATAAGTGATATGACCTCAGATCAAGAGAAGCCAAGGTCAATTATGTCAAGTCTACTTGAGGTCATAGCTAGAACAAGTATTTTTCTTTTTCCCCCCTCCCTTGAGGATTTGATTTATAGCATGATTATATAGAAAACATAATCCTAATAATACGAAAGTTAATTTACATAAACATGTTTTTGGGTTAAATATTTCTTTTGTAAAATTAGACACTAAAAGAAAGAAAACTTAATTTTATTTCAATATTTATGATACAATCATTTTAGTTACTTGGAATGCGGTAAGAACACCAAAAAGAGCAATTTTTGTTATTCGAATTCCACAGTATGATCATAAATTTCTATTAGGTGGTACTTTTTCCCTTCCCGTTCTATGTCCTCCAGTTATACGCTCTGAAAAAAAAAATGACCTTGCCACTAGATCCAAGTAGCATTCAATGTCAACCTTGAAATTAGTTTTTCCTAATACGGAATCCATTATGTGGATTAAATCAAATTTAATAATATATGAGATCTTCATTATGATACAAGAAACAATATATTTCTTTGTTTTCTAATAATAAAACGAAATAAAAAAGGTGTGAGAATTGCAATAAAAATTCTCTAAACGTCCTTTATTAAAAAGTTTTAAACTAATAAACTCTTTAATGGCCTTCCTTCCACTTTCTTCTAACCTTTAAAGGCATCTTGTTAGCTGAATCGAATTTTATGTTCTCTTTATTCTATAAAATTGTTTTTTTTTTAATATGAATTAACACCTTTCATTACACAATTATTTTCCAGCAAAATGTCTGATATTAGCGACTTTAACATTGTATTTTTATCACAATTTTATCTTAACTTTCAATCAAAAGCATACAAATCAACCCCTAAAAGTCTAGAACATACCAAAATAACATCAATTTAATGTCTGGAGGATGTATAAAATATTGTTCCTTCAATAAACAAGTTGCATGCGAAGAATAATAACGCCTACACAACGGATGTCCTACTAATAAAGTTTGTTTCTGTATGTTTAACGTTAATCCAAATTTTCTGTATCTTCGTCAAATGATTCACACAGAAAAAAAAAAAAAATAAAAAGTCTCGAAAGAGAAAGAGACAAGACGAATGTAACTTATGTCAATGGTACTAATAACCTATTTCTAAGACTTCTTTAATTTACAGTATCTAGAATAGAATTTTCTTTGATAAGTCACGAAAACTATTGAAATTAATTATCTGTTTTGAACAGTTTTAAAATTAGAAAACGAAAATTATAAAATATTTTTTTTTTTTTATTCTCATGAAAATAGACCGTAATCTGCAGTTTTGAGAAGACACAAAACATTCTTTTCTCTGTATCGAGATCGCATGATTCGAATAATAATAATTAAAATATATATATATATAACATAATTTCCTATTTATCTCTAGGGGATTCCGCCATTTTTTTTCCAGTAAATATTGATTAGTGTTCCTGTATTTGACAGGAGAAATTAAAGAGTTGATTGCGCTCCGGGAAAATAAACTTTTCCTGAAATTCAACCTAACCGATCTTTTCATTTCCTGATCAATTTAACATTTCATAAAATAATTTCTAAAATATTTAATTTTAATCAGTTAATAACAGATTGTTTTTCGATTAAAATTAAAAATATAAATCTATATATACTATATTATATGAATTTTGCTATCAACAATTATCTCGAAATTTCATTTTTTTGTATCTAGATGGCAGCACATACTTTATTTTTATAAATATTATATATACATATAAATATATATAATAAAATATTTAAAAAATACTGTATAGTTTTTAAATTGAAAATACTAACCAATTTTTATATTTAAGAAGAGAAGAAAATAATAATTAATTTTTTTCTATTTTTTTAAATTAATTAATGATTAATATAAAAAAATATAGAAAAATCAATTATTATTATTTTTTTAACACCGGAAATACTGATTGAAAGCATACATCAGTAACCTGTGTATGTATCTTCTCACACGATGTAAGCTATTTTAAGATACAGATGGTGCAGACAGATGATTTTAAACATTGAATATACAAAAGCTTCATAATAGAAATGCTTTTATTAAATGTATCATATTCTATATTATAGTATTTACCCAATTATTATTTCTTTCAGAAAGATCGTGACACAAAAACCGACTTTCAGTTCTATGTTTTGACCGAGTTGTAGATTTATTTTTTGTTTTTTTCCTCTTTTCTATTACTAGAAAAAGAGGAAAAACAAAAACTTACTCTTCCTGTTCTTTATATAATATGTGATGTTAAATATAATTAATTAATATTCATAAAATTCTAAAATTTAAAACCGGCTTATAAAGGAAACTATAGAATTAAATATATTTATAATAATTAAAATTCTATTATTATAATAAGTAATGTTGTAGTAAGACAAATTGTCGTTTTACAACTTAATTTTTTTTTTTACTTTTTAGCACAGAACTGATATATACAAATACAATTTGTAAATAGAGTCGAAGACTGTTCGTAATTTCACAGTTATTTTTGAAAAATTGTTCGTAAATGTTGTGAAAAATGAATGAAGAGGTAGATTTTTTTTAGCTCGTTTGTCTTTCTCATTAGAAGTTGGCATCCCTAATTGTAATCTAAATCATTTTTATTGCCGCTCGTTTACTTGTTTTTGTCTGTTTCATTCTGCCCTGTGGGCATTAAATAGACTTTTTATCATGCTCATCATGAGTTCGGTTAGGTCCACAATGGGGTAGCAAAATGATAGGAAAAAGGCAATCTAAGTATCCGGAACGGATCTCCCATGAAAAATTCCAGGAGTTGCTCACCCGGATTTGATTCTTGGTCCCCGAAATAGTAGTAAACTGACGCCTTAACCATTGTCTTATTATCATTATCGAAGAAAAGATAAAAATGTTTCCAAGTTTTCTTTTGCTGGTGTTTTTTTTTCACACTGTATGTCGGGATTTGTTACTCTTAAAGTTGATAATCCTATTTATGACCTCACGTGGATGGCAAAATATTAACTAAAGTAGGACTATATCACGTTACTTTACTACAATAGTTACATAATAGTAAACAAATGATATAAATTAATTACTAGCAAGCTCGAATAACGTAATATACGTACTCTATCCGAAGTATAATGCAGTGTTTTTCAGATGCCATTCGTTTAAAGTCCATATTTCATTTTGAGTATTATATCTTGTTCTTACAACTCATTTTTTTTAGAGATAAGATATGAAGTTATAATTTATTTCGTTTAGCTGAAAATATAAGTTATTAGTGAGAATATAATTTGTTTGTAATAAATATCACAAGATTTTATTCAAAATAATCACATACCCTACGTAAAATATGTTTCTTTTACTGTGCATCCGGTGAAGTTCTCGCACATTATGATTGTCACGTGGTTAGTGTCTGGTTTTTTCCACGTGACAATCACTCACTGGCGAATTTCCGGCAGCTATTCTACCTAACGTTCTTCAGTTCGTTCAGTTGTTATGCTGCAGGAAGAAAAGCAATCAAACTGCAAGGTGAGATAATTAAATCGTGTAATTTTGTTTCTTTTATATATTAAAACAATATTAACTTGTCAGCATCGATATAAAGTAAGTGTAACATCAACAGATGTGAGATAATCTTTGTTCTCGCTGGTTCGTTGTTCAAATAAACCCGCGTAAAGCCTTACAACTTAAAATGTATTTATTCTTAAGTTTAATTTGAATAGAGATGGACTATTTTAATTTTTTTTTTTATAATTTTAAAAGGATAAATCTTGTAAGATACAGTATATACAATCAACGAAACTTTAATACTTCTTACGTTTGTTATAAAATTATATATATCATTTTTATTATATTACATATTATAATAACTAAAAGTCTTCGTTTATTTACATACTTTTATTCGTAAAAATAAAAATAACATAGTTAAAAGCTATAAGAAATACACGGATAATATCGATAAAAGTACACCTATAAGCGATTTGCAGAGCCATTTTACCTTTGTTGTTTTTAAACAAATGTAATATGTAGAATGTTTCTTTATTGATAAAAAGTAGTCTGAGATTTTATTTTTGTTAGTAAAAATAGAGATTCCTCCTCCTTCTTGGGGTTGTCCATAAACGACTCCACAATGTGAGGGAGAGAAGGGTTGAGTTCCATTTTGTTTCATTACATTTTATACAGTTAATGCATTTCATTATATTTATTTCAAAATTTCTTGTATGTTTCATTTCTACTTATGGTATCTATCATTTGTAATGTGATAAAGGTTTTATTACTTTATGAGTGAGGGGAGGTCGAATTTTGTTGGATGTTCGAAGAGGGGAGGAGGTTACAGAAACTTGGACAAACAGGGACAAAAGGGAGGAAGAATAAAAATTTCAAGAAAAATGCAGTTGTAATTTATGGACAGCTCCAAAGACAGTGTCCTGATGAAGTTGACAGTTTATTTTTTGATCCTTTCAAGGGGANATTCCGTTTTATATGAATTCCATGTTGTACGAGTCACTTATATTTTACAAATACGTGTGCCGGGCTGTGAACGGCTCACGTATTTGTAAAAATTAAGTGACTCGTACGACATGGAATTCATATAAAACGGAATTATCAACAGTGTTATAGGAGGGTCGACTTGTACTAACATATTACAACCATTAATTAATCATTTTGTAAATCAATTTTAAATAAAAACTGATATTTAAAATTATTTATAATGTACTTTTTAATATTTAATTCCAATATTTATTACATTAATAAAATAAGAAATAGATTCTGACTGCATATCCACAAGGTTTAGCTTCTATAAAATTACATTATTGATTTCATTTTAATTAAATAATTAATCTGTATTGTAAGTGAAATTTTTAAAAAGAAAACAAATCATTAAATATAATAGTTACATTTATTATATAATTTTTAATCGGCTTTTCTTCTCTTTTTTTTCCATTGAAGTGACGTAAAAAAAAAAACTTGTAATGTGATTTATAATGACATCCCTGGAGTTCACGACCCACTGATTGGAAAACAATAACTTGAATATAATGAATTTAAAAGAGAAAAAAAATTATCTTGTAGCAGAAATAATTGCATTTATAAATAGCAATTATCTTTAATTACACTAATTGCTTGCCCTTTAGGAGTTAAAATACATGTTAACAACATTGGTTAATTTTTTTTTTTTCAATACAAGTATTAAAAAATTAATAATAATTTTTAATCATTTAAGTATAATGAGGAAATTAAGAAGATAATTCTAATTTAAAATGTTTTATTATTATTATTATTATTCTATATTTTTACATAAAATTTCTTAGACGATCAAACCTCATCAGCAGTTAGTAACTTTATTTAAATTTAAAATTCTCATAAATATTAATAAAATAATTTATTTAATAAGAAAATAAATAGACATAACATATTTTTATGATATATAAACTTTAAAAAAATAAGAAAATTTGAATAATATCCCTAAAGTTAGTATAAATAAATTTTCAGAAACGTTTATCTATCTTTACCGCAAATTGTTGAAGTTTATATGTGGAACGAAAATAAATTATTTATGTAAAAAAAAAAAAATGATAGAAATACGCTAAACTGTTTGACAGAGAACAAAATTTACGATTTATATATGTATGTAAGTTTGAAAATTTATCACTGTAAACAAAGCTGACTCAAGTCAAATAGATATGAAAGATTGAATAGAATAGAATAGTTTTTAGAATAGAATAGTTTTTATATTTTAAAGATAAGTCAGACTAAAAATAAATCTTCTTTAATTTCGAATCTATATTAAAAAAGAAAAAAAAAAGAGGAATCTTTGAAGAGAACGATTTTATAAAATTGTAAAATGAAAAACTTGGCAGAGTAACCAATACATTGTAATACAAATACGATTTACACTTCGAATTTTTCTTTTATTTTCTATTATAACTTGAAGAAAAATCTAAAATGGGATAAAGTTATATTAAATTCTTCGTAATGCCATGATTTTTTAAGACAGCAACTTCATATATAACTATGTTTCTCGAATCACAATTTAAGAATTTATATACACAACGCTAGAAAAATTAATCATGAGTTATTACATATGATTAATTTATTTCTTCTAAGCACTTTTTTTTTTTACTTAATTTAAAACATCAATTCAGCTGTATGTAAATTATTTCCTAGTTATAATTGTATTGTATAACACGCAAAGTCATTTAGAAAAAGATCATAAATAAATTTTGTGTAAAGAAACGTAAATCAGTTTTTGTAGATTGAAAAAAAAAAAACACCATTACTCTTATTGAAAAATCATGCTTAAAATCGATGTTGCAAATTTAAATGTAAGTAGCAATTCGATTGTTGGATAGATAAAGGATAGTTTTCTATATAATTTAAATAATAGAAGAAAGTTATGTATAATATTTATTACTTTTTCGTACGGAGTGCTGAATCAGCGCCATTACCATTATGTCGAGTGTCATCTGTATATATTTTTCACTTGTATTATTCTGCAAAATGGCTTTTTTTTTTTCCTGTTGTTCGTTCTATTCAACTTAGTGTTTCTCGTGTTTTCAATTAAATTTAAGAAGATATTTCACAATTTACATTTAAAATTACCCTCGGGCGTAACTACAAACTTTTATACTTTAGTAAAATAGTTTTGTAGTTATTTAAATGTTATTTTAAAGAAATATTTATTAAATAAATTAAATCGTCCATAATTTCGGGTTTGTATTAAAAAAAATTTTGCGATTTGTTATGGTGTTTTCATAAGTTATCTGTCGAGGTATTGTGCTAAAATATTTTAATTCTACATCAAAATTTTTCAAATATCATTGAGATTATACAAGTCGACCCTCCTATAACACTATTGATAATTCCGTTTTATATGAATTCCATGTTGTACGAGTCACTTAGATTTTACAAATACGTGAGCCGTTCACAGCCCCGCACACGTATTTGTAAAATCTAAGTGACTCGTACAACATGGAATTCATATAAAACGGAA